GGTCGTCAAGTGCAACTCTATCAACCCGACCAAAGTAGCGCCGACGGAAGCCCATCTGGACCCCTCCGCTCCACCTTCCCCCCCCCCCTTCCCCCCCCCCCCCCCCCCTCCCCCCCCCCACAAGAGGCGCAACCACGGCCCCGACTGTATCGACCCCGAGTGCTGTCCACGTGGCGAGAAGGCGGCAGTGCTCTTGGTGCAGTGGCAGCATGCCTCCCCATGTCGTCAACCATGGGCATCGATGCCTCCGCGACCAGCGGCCACACCGCCAACTCAGCTGCAGTCGATATCTCGGCCCGACTCGCAGCACGTGTCAACGCGGGCGGCTGTGGCGCCATCCGCGGCCACGTCGATGACCCAGCCAGCTTCGCTGGCCACGCTCAACACCACGACACCACGACGGGGAGCACCCAGGACAAGGACATAACAGTCCAGACGTATTGCTTCGAGAAATGCGGATTCAAGATTCACAACCTATCTGACGAGACCGCAGACTCCGCCAAGCGACAGGCTGAGCACGCGATAAGTCTTGTCCAGCCTATCATCCTTCCCCCTTCTGCCTTCACCAACGAACCCCCCGTCGCGATTGACATGTCCATGTTCACCGTCGGCAACGGCGACCCCATCACCATGCGGAGACAGACCTCAGCTGTCATCCGCCTCCCAATCGAAGCTCACATGACCGGGGCGATCGACGACCGCGCCCTGTACGCTATGGAGAGATCCATCAGTGCCCTCGGGTATGAGACCAGGTGGGACGGAGCGCAAGGCAACGATCGAGCCACCATGTTCTCCGCTCAAGCGCACCGCATCGATCAGCAACCCGTTACGGAATCAGGCTTGGATCAGGATGGAGTCAACGCGCTCATGAACCCGGCCTTGGGGCCCGGTTCTGGTCTATTACACCAACCTCGCCGAGGGAAGGGTCATCACTTTTAAGCGTTTCGACCAGTGGATTCAGCTAACCTACTTCACAACTCTAGCAGTCATTGCCTCCGAGTCTTGTCTCCCCGAGTCCTTCTACGCGAACCATTACAACTCGCTGGTCGCCAACTACAACTCCATCAACCCGACCATAGTAGCGTGGTTTCCATCAAGCGCTTCTCCCACGAATACACCTGATTCATCATCGACCCCAGCTCCTCCCTCCTCACCCAGTTCCTCACCGAACGTCCCTCTCCCGACCGCTTCTATTACGACTTCGCGTACCACCTCAACTCCGAATTCAACGACTTCAGCCGGGCCGTCATCATCGCAGCACGGGATGACGGCAAGTCATCCCACGAGGTCACAAGGTCACAAGGGACGTGAGAAGCAAGATAGCGCGCGCGTCCAATCACTCGTCGACAGTAGTGAGCAAGCTTGCCCAAGCTCGACACCAAGTTGGACGAGTTGGACGACCTCCTCGACGAAGAGATGCCGGCCACCTGCCGATGACAGCAAGCGTCATCGACTCACAATCACGTCTCAACCAACTCGAACCGACACTGCACAGTAGGAGGCCAGCCTTCGTGCAGTCCATCCCCATCGCATACCAGCTCATCGCCGCGTCGATGGATGCCCCCATCTCCCTCCCCCCCTCGGCGCGGACCCCTCCTCCCCTTATCTCGCGGACTCCGCCTGGACCATCCCTCGACACGACACCTCACTCCACATGCCGTTACCCCTCACATTCACAAGCCACCATTGGGCGTCCCCGACAGCCTTCCCACTGCCGCCATCACCGCGTCCTTCTCCATTGAGATCCCAGGGGTGCTCCGGACATGAACCGCCCGCAAGTACAGTCCCACGAATTTGCACACCGTATGGTGCACCAGTGGCAGAATCTATCCATCTTCGGCGCCGCATAGGTTGCAGCGTGCTTGGTGCAGTGGTAGCATGCCTCTTTCCGGCTTACGTAAGCGGTTCGGAGGTGGTCACAGGTTCGACCCCTGTAGTACGCTTTTTGGCCCGATTCCGGGCGATCTTGCATGTCTTTTTCATGCATGCGTGGTAGGTCCTTGTAGCCCGGCGAGTGGGCTATCTTCCGGCGCCCTGACATGCATCACAATCGCAAAAACGGAGGAGATATGACGGTTCAAAGTGGGTGGGGTCGGGCGGGATGGCGGGTGGCGGAATGTGGCGGGGTGTGGCGCCAGTTCAATCCCGGTGGTGCGCGAGGGTTTTTGCGCCGAATTCCGCCCAGATCACGTTCCGAGCCTCTTGCCCATACCGAGGTGTAGGGGGTTCTCGGCTGGTGATCTGGGTGTTCCAGATCTCGCTACGGCGCTACGGCTCGGAGAGGAGGAGCAGCAGCCGGAGCATGTGATGAAGGATAGGATCTTCACGCGCAGTTACCCATGGTGCTTCGCAAATAACGACCGTACTGCAGCGATGGAAAGCTTAGCCAAAAGCCTCGTACCTGTACGACTACAAGCAGCGCTCCAGATTACCAGGAGTGATCAGTTTACAATCTTACATGGCCATCGACGTGCGATCGGTGCCACACGCGAGATCACCCGAAGACGACACGCAGCACGGCGGGCGTGTAATCGCCGCGATCGCCAATATGCATGAATGAGTGTTCCGAGCGCGAGTACGGGTATGGGGTATGTACAGTGTTCGTAAGTCGATCAGGTTAGCTACAAAGCCTATGCGAGCGTGGTTTGTTGAGACACGCAGAGCATTCTCTCCCCTCCCGCCTGTTGCCTACGCCACTCCGCCTGTTGTCGCTTCGCCATGGTCAGGCCAGCTGGAAGTGTCTGCGCTGGTGGCTGCGTCCATCCTCCAGATGTGGCCTCGGACATACTCGTCCTCCCTCGCTCGCTCTATCTCTCCGCCTCCTGCAGCGCACTCTCATTCCCCTCCCCACGCCGCGCCTACGCCTCCAACACCCCCATCTCCCTCCACTTCTCCGCCAGCTCCCCCACCCCCTGACCCAGCCCCTGCGGGGTCATCAACTCCTTCATGACGAGCAGATCAAACTCCCTGCCAAACGCGAGGAAGTGGGCGAACAGGCTGTTGAAGTGCGCCTCGATCGAGAGGTGGAGGATGGTCTCAAAGTGGGCGTGGTAGAGGTGCGCAAAGACGCGGAAGAGGTGCTTGTAGATGTGTTTGGCGGTGTAGGCGAATGACTGGGGAAAGTCGCGGCCTGAGCGAGGCGTCAGCGCGTGGTCGCGGTGTGACATAGTGTGGATTTGCCGTCATTGCGGTTCTCGATAATCACAGCGGCACAGCGGCACGGTTCTAGGAACCAAGCCTCCCTCCCGTGCTTTACTCACCAGACTTTGTTGGGAACACGCTCTCGTCATCGAGCAACTTCTGCAGCCAGCTCATCACAAAGTCGATGTACGTGGGCGCGGGAAGGCTGACGAGGCGCTGCGACTGGTCGGGCCACAGGAAGTTGAGTCTGCACGAAGCCGGTGGGATGTGGCGTCAGCGCCAGCTCCTGGCGATCACATCACAGACATCACGTATTGCTGCTCGGCAATCAAGAGCTAGAGCTGGAGCCAGAGCGAGGGACCTGGGATCGAATGCACGGCGGTTGTTCGCGGCGCTCCTTCACGCCGGACTGGTTGGGGAATGGAGCGCGACGCAGCGATGCACTCACGTTGGTCCTGCTGACATGGTAGGGCAGTTTTGTAGGGTGCAAAAGTCGGTGAGGACGCCGTAGAAGTGATTGAGGTTGTGGTAGAAGTCGAACACTGCGAGTGAACCATATTTTAGTATGATTGGAGTATGATTGCGATGGCAAGTGACGGCACGGCCGCGTCCATTCCCCAGCTGCCGTCTCCCCCTGATGCCTCGCATCGTTGCACTCCACCTCATAGGGGGACTAGGCCAATGCCGTGGCACATATGGAACAGACCGAACCGATACTCACAGTTGATCGCCACCCACTCATTCACATCCACATACTTTGGGGGCGCCACGATCGTCTTGAAGCTCCCCTTGACCAGCGCGGCCTTGACGAAGGGCTGACACAGGTACAAAGGTCTCGGGCCGGGTGACGCGGGGAGGGCCCCAAAGTCGACGCCGGGGGAGGGGAGGGGTTCGAAGAAGCCGGCATTGGTGGGTGTGGTGGGGGAACGTTTGGGGGCTCGGAGGCGGCTACGGGTGGGTGAGCGTGATGGGCACTGTACGGGAGGGGGAGGCATACCCGATTGAGTTGAGGAAGCCGGACATGGCGAGGTGGGCTGTGAGAGACTTGGAGCTGGAGGATGCGGGGTAGCAGGGGTCCGGGGCTGCTTCCAGAGTTGGTGCCGATGTCTGCGTGTAGCAGTGTAGCCTGAAGAGAACAACAATGGGAGAGAGATGGAATGCAGATGAGATGCACGGTCGTCGCAACCTCATTGTCGTCGCGACGCGCCAAAGTCAAACCAACGGAAGTAAATCCTCGAATTTGATCCCGCTCACCCGCAGCTGATCAGGCGACCAGACGACACTTTTGGGACACCTCTTAACCTCTTGACAAACCTCTCTTCGCCCTAACCAAGCACCGAGCACCCAGAGGCCGTCAGTAGCGCGCGGCGTGCTCGACACCATGGTGTACATCAAGACATGGACCGACTTTGAGACGGTGCGTCCTATGGCCGCTACCAGCGGAGTCTGTCTTCCCTCGGATTCCATGCCTATGACAGCTATACCGAGCCGCCCGAGCCCGGTCACACGCACTCGACTTGGCTCTGATTCCCCTACGAGCGCCTTGCGGCTCAGTTCAACATCGCCAGGCTACGTGGCCTGCCTTGCGCTGACACGACCCTCAGGCCGCATCGGATCTCTACGCAAAGTCACCAAATAAGGTGCGTGGAAGCGGATATCGCGATAGAGACTTTCAACGACTCACACCTCGCAGGTCCGGTATGGCGTCAAGTTCAGGCCGTCGACGGGGCTGCTCGTGCTCAAAGTGACGGACGACACGACGGTGAGTCGGCTTGTTGTCTCAGTTTCGACAATTCGTATTGCGTGACCATTCTCCCATCATCGGAAGATCTACCTACACGGCACGCACGTCTGCCAGCCAGCTCACTCCATCTCGTCGTGCACGCTGTTCCTCCTTGTTCGGCGCTCTGCACTCGGCAACCACCGCATCGCCTCATCGTGACCACATCGCTAACCAACCCAGTGTCTGATGTACAAGTCCTTCTCCTCGATCATTCTCAACCGTTTCGAATCGCTCAACCTCCGCCTCCTCTCCCAGATCGCAAACACGAAGCCCAAAGCGAGATTACTGGCCGGAGGAATGGGCAGCGGCGAGCCTTCGCGAGCGGGGACACCGGGCGTGGGCGTGGTCGAGGACGAGCCCATGACGGGGACGGGGGCCGCGGGAGAGGTAGAGGCGGAGAAGCCAACGCCGAAGACGGAGGGGAAGGGTGGCGCAGGCGGAGGCGGAGGCGGAGGCGGAGGAGGAGGGAAGAAGAAGAAGAAGGGGAAGCGATGAGTGATCAGCGATGGGTGGAGCGATGAGTGCCGAGAGAGGAAGGGCGCGCAAACTAGGCATCGGGCATTGAACGAGAGACAGGAAGACAGGAGCTACAGCAGATGCATCATCATTGTATTGCAATGTTGCGAACGGTACGGTGCGCCACAGCATCGCCCAGAGCCATTGTGACCACTTTCCTCCCCTCAACCCTCCTAGAGAATCACATTCTTAGCTAAGATTGCTCACTCGCTAGAGCGCAACGACGAGGAGGCTCAATACGCCCTGTTCTCCGAGCGTGACCAACGGACACAGTGCTGAGTCGAGCCACCGAGTTCGCCATGCGACGAAAGCCCTTAGGATGTATCATCCATGATCGACGTCGGATCGTGCTCCGGCTTCGACAGCTTGATTATGACTTTCGCTGCGCTGCAGGTTTGCGAGGTCGATCGTCCACCGATTCCAGCTTAGGACCGGTGCGTATAGCCCCTCCTCTCTCGCAGAGGCTGGAGCCGATCCCCCAGTCTGGGGATGCCATGAAAAGTGCAAGTCGGTGAGGCTGCAGCCAGCTCAGCTCTCATTTGTTCTGAGTCGAGTATTGAAGAGTCTCACATTCAGTGACGTTGACAAGCCACTCACCGGCGTGTCGCGTTTCTGCACCCAAGCGGCGTCTAGAGGCATTCCAAAGCTCCATCGTCCAGCGTTCTGCTCCGCCCACACCACCAAACCCTCGCATTCCTCATACCTTTACAACCCTACACCCTGACCCCCGCCAACGCCTCGACCACCTCCGTCCCCCTCTCTCTCACCCCATCCACTCTCTCTCCAAGCTTATCAAGGCTCCCATCGTCCAGCTCCGCGACGTCGCGTCGCATTGTACGGACATATGCCCGAGCCAGCTGGAGCGAATCCTCCGGTATGGCTTTGGAAGGTGCAAAAGCGTCGAGGGCCGATGCGGTGTTGCCTGGGGAGGCGGTACTGTGGTTGGAATGGTCTGATACAGCTGTGGTCGAGGGGGCGGTTGTGCTTGTGCGGGCGGGACGGGCGGAGCTCGAGGAGAGGGACGAGAGCGCGCTGGGATTTGAGAGCAGCGCGGTGATGTCGGAGGAGAGGTCACGGCGGGTGAGGGTTTGTGACGGCGCAGTGCCGATGGACGATGCGGCGGTGCTCATGACGATGCGATGGTGCTTGATCAATGCTGGAAGTCGGATGGATGATGATCGCAGCAATAGCAGCAATAGAGTGATGCGAGTTGGATTGTGCAGAGTAAAGGAGCCAGCCGGTCAATCGTCGCTATAGCCGTTGCCGTGGCGCTGCTTTTATAAATTGGAATGGATGCCTTGACACCGCCGTCGCGTCGCTTGGTGAGGTCTGCGATGCTTGGACACGGCGCCAGTGGTTGTGGTGGAGGGCAAGTACTACTACTTCTGCCTTTGTGACACCGAGGGGTCCGACGAATGTGCATATGGCGACTTTTCCTTGGCGTATAGACGAAACGACTGCAACGAAACGCGTCCCGACCCAAGACCCTCACAGCTCCGGCTC